ATTCTTCTAGTTTCTCAAGAAACTGAAACTTCCCTTTCCCTCGCCCTGAAAGCTGAAACTGGAGGACTTCACTCCAGAAAAACCGCGACGGCAGACCGTGTGTGCACAGCCTGCGTACCTGCTGCCGTGCGGGTCAGCTGCAGAGAGAGTCACCAGAGACCCAATGACATCACCAGAGACATTCAAACTGCACGCCAGGAAAACCCGTCAGATTGCGGCTGCCACCCTCGTCCCACCTCTAAAGATGCTTCAGACTCAACTCTAGAAATCTCCGCGGCTAGCTATCCTCCAGACTCAAAAACTCAGATCACAATTTGTACCAAATATTAACCTTTGTTTTTATTTTGTTTCCATGGAACACTACTATGCTAGTCAGTTTCTGTTGCTTATAACAAAATACCTGGAACTGGTTAATTTGTAAGAAAACAAAATTTATTTCTCATGGTTTTGGAAGCTGGGAAGTCCAAAGTGTAGGGAACACAGCTGGTGAGGGTCTTCTCTGGTGGTGGCTTTACAGCACTGCAGGGTCTCACATGGCAGAACGTGGTGGAGCAGAGAGAGGGGGACTCTCACGTGCTCTTCTTTTAAAGCCCCCAGAACCACGCCCACGACCACCAGTAAACCATCCACCTAATCACTTCAAGGCCCCACCTTTCAATCATCATAATTGGGTTTCCCACCCTCGACAAGTACAGTGGGGTTCAGCTTCAGTGACTTTGGGGCCACTCAGTCCACCACAGCTACCTTGAATTCTCTTCAAGCCGCACAGCCTGACCTGAATAATGACCTCAGTAGTCGCACCCAAGACAGAAGCTCTCGATACCTCAGCAACCTAACAAAGAGGGGCTTGTGTTCTTATTGATAAAAAAAAATGTTGTTTCTAGGTTAATAAGTTAGAAATTGTTGCCCAAAAGTTGAAGTCACTTAAGAAATAAACACAAGTCTCACCAGATGGGTGCTGCCTCCTCCGCTGACTTATTTCATCGGTTGAATCTTGGCTCCTGGGAATCTCTGCTCCAGGCAACTTTTCCGTCCTTGGCTGTTTCTCTCCTTGTAGTCATTTGATTTTATTTACCTTCCTAGTGTGTTGTATCCTCTCAAGGGTTTACACACGTCCCAGCAGCCACTGGCACACCAAATGACAGCCGTCAGGACTGGACATCTTGGAGAGTTCAGCCACCCGACCACTCCACGTGACCTTGTGTCTCGATGCAACCGCTGCTGATGATGGAATCTACGTCACTTTTTCTTCCAGTGACTACCTCGATAGTGCTAACCAGGCCTGAAGAATCCTGAGCAGATAAAACCAGCTAAGCCTCATAAGTGACCTCAACCTTGCTTGATTTGCAAACGTAAGCAGAATCTAACTTGAGCTATTTCTTGTAAATGCCCGTATTAAAAACAAAAACAGAACTTGAGCTCAATCAGTCAGAACTAGCCAACAAATGCATATAATTATATAACTAGGGCCGTTCCTGAGTAACTGTACCCATTCACACAGTTTCTTTGCTTACTTCTGTATCTGTCACACAAAAGCCTCCCCTGTCCCATCCTGGAGCTCCTGACCACTACTGGCTTGGAGCTGCTGAGATTCATAAATTGCTGTTTGCTCAGATACACTCTAAAATTGCATTGTGCCTCAGTTTACTTTTTAACAAGGTCCACATTATTTCCCTGAGACCCTGACAACATTCCTTGTCATCTATCTGGGACCTTCAGGAGGAGGGGTTGGCTGTGGCAACCCCAGCAGGACTCAGAGGATGCTGCGTGCCCACCTCAGTGGCACACAGATGGGCCCTCCATGGCTGGCCCTGAAAAATGACCCCAAGCCACACTGACAGGCCTTTTGAAGCCCCCAGCACACAACACAACCCAGGGGGTCTGCCTCCCACTCACTCGGTTTCCCAACCCCCTCCTCCAGGGAATCCTGAGGGGCAGGCTTTAGAAAAGGCTTCGGGATTACAACTGGGAATAAACACAGGATGGGCTGTGGAACCACGTGATCTGGGGACACAGGGAAAACATTCTCGTCTCCAACAGGGCTTTCTCCACCCAGGATAGGCCTGTGTGGTAAAGAACTGAACTTTTTCCAAAAGCAGCCTGACCTTTGCCCCCAGGTCCTGGGAGGTGACCTCTCAGCCTGGAATGTCTTTCCTGATAAGACTGCATTTGTTTCCCTGGGGGTCCTAGGCCATCCACATGGTGACAGTGTGATTTAGGGTGAGTGGGTCGTGTGGTTTCAGTCAACCTCTGGAGGGGCTGGAGACTGAGATCAACCACACAGACAGTCAATCGGCAGTGCCTGTGTGCTGGAGCCCAGTAAAAGCTCTGGACACAGAGGCTCAGGCAAGCTTCCTGGGTTGGCAGTGCTCCATGTGTCATCACATGTGGATGCAGAAGAGCAGTGCTGTCCTGACCCCATGGGGAGAGAGCAGGGAGCTTCGAGTCTGGCACTTTCCAGACCCTCCTCTGGGCTCCTTTGCTTGGCTGCCTCTAACCTGGATGCTTTCCCGTAAAAACCACACCACAAGTACAACAGCTTCACGGAGTTTCGTCTAGCAGATTACTGAACCTCGAGGGTGGACTCAGGGCCCTCAAACCTGCCATTGCTGTCAGAGGGAAGGGGAGGCTTTGTGGGCTGTCTCCTCCAACATGTACTCGGCAAACTCTGGGCAAGGCCCCGCCCTAGACCCCAGACATACTGACATCCTAGGGAACTCCAGGTGTCTGGGCAGCTGGAGACCAACCCCCTGCTCCTCTTAAACAAACAGGGTGTGCTCATGTGATGGGGTGAACATGGGATCTGTACACAGCCAAGTGAGCTCAAGCCACTGACCCCTCTGGGACTCAGTTTCTTTAGCTGTAAAATGGTATGGTGGGGAGAGTGCTGAGGGAGGGGTAGAGTCCTGCCTTAGCTGGCTCCTAGGGCCACACTGTGGTCACTCTGGGTGGCCCCACCCAAGGCTCCCCCACACCCAGTAGCCAAGCTTGTCTTCAGGCCGTTTGCATAGACCTCAAATTTCAAGCAGAATCAAAGCCTTTTTGGAGTTTAGGCAAAAATCTTGTGATTTTCATTTTCAAATAGTTTGGGCTTGGCAAGTCCAAAACTGTACTTTGCCAAGTCTTCCTTTCTCCTATAATTTAAAGAAGAAAAAAGCACAGAAAACGAAACCACTGTGCATTCCAAGGGAGACATGGTCTGCATGCTGCCGACTCTGCCACAGTCATCAAAATCACCGTTCGGAGAATCTACACTGTGTCCCAACAGCCTCGCAGAGCCTGTCCCAGGCGTTGTAAATTTTTATTTCATTTCATCTTATTTTGCTTTATTTTTAATGTGTCAATGAGGCAGAATCTTTGCAGGGAGTTAGCGCCAGTGCTGCCCAGTCCGCAGGTCCAGGTGAGGCTTGCAGAGACCCCACTGCCAGGCCATCAGGGCGAGCATCTGGGAGCCAGTAGGCCAGGCAGAGCCCAGCGGAGGGTAGAGAGGCCGGGAAGCCTGCGAGGGGCTTCTGGTTTGATGGACGCTCGGCGGGGGGGACCGTGGACTGAGCCCCTATCTCCATTCTGCTCATCTGCTTCAGAGGCTGTGGCTGCTCAGACATCCAGCACCCTGTCCTGAGTCGCTGGGTGTGCACAGACAGGCAGACACCACCTACATGCCCAAAAAGCTCAGCACATATGGTCACATATGGAGGGGCTAGTCCACTTCAGGGGTGGGGAGATGGGGACATGGGGAAGACCTCAGTGGCACAGCCGATGCTTGGCCTGAGGTTTACCATGGGAGCGGGGTCCCCAGGAGAATGGGAGGCTGAAGGACAAAGGATGGGAGAACGGCCTCTTGGGAGAGCAGATGGCCCCAAAACCAGAAGTGCAAGCTGGCCCTGGACAGAGGACTGAGCCCCTGGCTGGAGTCTCAGGTGGCAAGCAGGGTCCCAGGGCTGCCTCCTACCGTCCAACCCACTCAGCACATGTCGACTATGTCCTCACAAGCTCTGCGTGCCCCACAGTGGAGGTTGGCCAGGTCCTTGCAGGACCCCACCACCTGCACAAGGCCATCGATCCTGTTCACCAGGGCTGGAAGCCAACACTGACAATCTCAAGTGGTGGTTTCTGAGAGGATTAAGGGATGGGCGTCTTCACCTCCAGCAGGTGCCCCACTCTGCAGAGCTGCCCAGGACACAGAGGCCTGCCAGGCCCACGGGCCCACGAGAGGCCCAACCATTACCCAGGCCTCGTGCAGGGAGGCCTCCTCCACCCTCCAACCCTCAGGCAGTGCTCAGTCATGCCTTTCCAAGTGCAATCTGCCAAATGACCAACCTTAAAGAAATATTGTGGGAGGAAAGAGTTCAGGTCCCCTGGACCTCAGCTGTGTGGCTGTCAGGGGGTGGGATGGGAGCAGGCCCCAGCTCTCCAGGGCACACACAAGGCTGCAGGACGTACAGTGCCAGAAGAGCTGGCTCAAGGAGGCCAGGCCCCGCCAGTTTTCCCATGCCAGGAAAGCTAGGAAAGCCTCTCCTCACACCTCAGCTGAGCAGCAGCCAGAGCGAGGCAGGGACAGTGACACCTGTGCCTGTTGGGCTACACCAAGGAATGCAGACACATTCCCTAAGCCCAAGAAGACCACTGGAGCAGGACAGGCCCATGTAACCACCAGAACAGGCAGGGCCTAGGAGCTGGCCTTAGAAAATCATATCCATGACGACATTGAAAATGCTTCCATTTCAAGTAGGGTTTAATCCTGGGATGCAAGGACGGCCCAACAGCAGTAAATCTGTAAGGATGATGCACTACATTAACAAGTGGGAAGAAAAAAACATGATCATGGAACTAAACCCAAGTCCACTGCCTTCCCCAAACAAAAACCCTGGCTCTGCTAACGAAAATCTGTTACAGAACCCAGGGCATTCTGCTCCTGACTGAGGCTCACCGAAATCTTGTTGCCGAACACAAGTCTAGCTGCCTGCCCCAAGCAAAAACAAACGACCCAAAAGTCAAAGTGTTAGTGGAGTAGGACGTCAGCTTTTATTCAGGGTTATCAGTGACCTGAGGAGAGATGTGAGGCTAACCCACCTCTCCAGTGGGCCTGCAAGAGGATGGCCAGACCACAACCATCTCAAAGACTCAGATCTTCTGAGGGGTTTTAAAGAGGAGACTGAGGGAAGAGAATGTGGGGAACGAGAAGCAGGAAGAGGGACGTGAGCTGTGGGGGCTCCGTGCGAGGAGCCAGGTGCAAGGTCTTGCCAAGGCTACCCCTGGTTTCTGTTTCCGTCCTCAGTGTTGTCTCAGGGTCCTGATCTGGGGTGGAGTCAGCACAGCTTTACTGATGTCTTCCTTGGTTTCTCAGGGTCTGGACAGTAGGTGTTTCATGGCAAGTCTGCAGCTCCAGGCCGACTAGAGAGCAACTTTACATTTTTATAAATAATGTCATCTTGTCCTGTAACCAAAGTTCAAACTATCAAATTACCACGGGAAAGAGGGAACTCAGAGAAATGCATGCTAAGAAGAAAACTGTGTCTTCACAATCTACAGAATCACCTCTTTCAAATATCACAGTTGGATTTCCCACCTGCTTAGCACTGTTACAATCGGGGTCAAGCTTCAGTGCGATGGGGGGACAGTCACTCCACAGCAGTGATCAACTGAGAAACTATTAGAACTACGTAGATAATTTAGTGATGCTGTTTAGTAAAAGATTAACATTCAATAAATCTACACACAGTAATGACCAATGAAAATATGTTGCCAGCAGTACTGCTCATAATAGCCCAAATTTTTAAAACATGAAAAGAGACCAAAAAATGTAAAAAGGCCTAGAAGATGAAAATTGTAAAACTTTACCGAAAAGGAATTTAAAAACTAAAATAAAGGGATTTATTTGGAATACATAGAATTCTGGGATGTCAAAAGTCAATTTTGAGAAAAAAATTAGTTCTCCCCAGAACTAATCTATAAACTCAGGGCCATTCTTATCTACTACTTATGGGATTTGACAGGATGAATCCAACAATTGTATGAAGAACATTTTAAAGGACAGCTAAGAAATTTTGAAAAATAAGAAATATATGTTCTATAAATCTATGTCACTTAAAACAGTGCGGCCTTGGCCCAGATATATGCAAAAGACCAGAGAATAAGAGTCTAGAAACAGACCCGTGTGTGTCGGAACGCATACGTACTGGCACTTCGTAAGTGAACAGAGGAAGGAAGGATCTTTGCAACATAGATCCCAGGCAAGGAGCCTGATTCTTAATCCATAAAGAGCTCCTCAAAAATCAATACATAAAACACCAACAATGAATGTAAAAAAATAGCAATGGACTTGAATAGACAGACCACACAAAAACATAAAAGTAGCTGGTAAATTTAGGAAAAGATGTTCAACTTCCCAGTCAGCAGGGAGGACAGATCAAAACACTGAGGAGATAGCACCTCTCACCCCTCAGGCTGGCAAAATTTAGACGTACGATCATCTTTTGACAAGAGCATAAGTAAGCAGGTGTTTCACTCGACTTTGTCTTTTGGAGGACAATTTGGCCCTATCTATTTAAAATACTAAAATGTACATTCTGTAACTCAGCAGATGTGTTTCTAGTAATCTGTTCTATAGATATGCTCACACGTGCTCACATAAAACCACAGGTGCAGTTTCAATGTCACTCTGAAATAACAAAACTCTTGAACAGAGGCATGGCTAAACAGAGGGGTGCACCTCCTTTCTGGAATACAGAGAACGCAGGACGGCTGTAGGTATCGACGTGGAGAGACCTCCAGGACTTACTTAGGGCTCAGTATGAAAAAAACAACACCGCACAACGATGTGGGCAATGCACCTGAACTAAACGTGGCTCCCGGACATGCCCACAGGAGAACCGAGAGGAAGTTCTAGAAAGACGTGCCAGAAGCTTCTGAACTTGGTCACTCGGGTGAAGGGCGTGATCTGGGGGTGTCAACAGGGACTTTCTTTTTTATATATATACTTCTGAATTTGGAGTTTTGTTTTATTTTAACAATCATATATTCACGTGTTGATAGTTAATTTTAGGTGGCAATTTGACTGGATTAAAGAATACCTAGAAACCTGGTAAAGCGTTATTTTGGGGTGTGTCTCTGAGAGTGTTTCCAGAGGAGATTCGTATACGAGCCCGAGTGGATGAGATTCGGAAGGTCAGCCCTCCACGTGGGTAGGTGGGGGGGCACCATCTGATCTGCTGATGTGGGGGGCCCCTGCAGGGAACAAAATCAGAGAAAAGGTGAATGTGTCAATCTGTCTGCGGGAGCTGAGACACATGCTTCCTCTCCTGCCCTTGGACCACAACTCCAGGCTCCCAGACTTTTGGTTCCAGGACTTACACCAGCAGCCCCCAGGGGTCTCAGGCCTTTGGCCTCAGACTGGAAATTATGCCATGGGCTTCCCTGGTTCTGAGGCCTCCAGACTTGGACTGAGCCATGTTGCCATCATCCCGGGGTCTCCGGCTTGCAGACGGCTTGTCATGGGACTGAGCCTCCATAATCACATGAGCCAATTCCCCTAATACATTCCCTCCCACATATCTATGTCTACGTCACCTAGATCTATGCCTATATCCTATTGGTTTGTCTCTCTGGAGAACCCTGACTAATATTTCATGCATTCATAGAGCTTTTTTTCTTTTTTTAAGTTTCTAAAAAGCTTCACATTCTGATTGTTGGTCACACAAACTAGATCTTGCATGACTTGGCTCTGCCTCCTTCAGCAATCGCCGCCCCCCGCCCCAGATGCCACGATCAGCTAACCCCTCTAAGTGAATGCACTGGGTTTATGGTCGAGGCCCTTCACCTGTGCAAACCAGGCGTGTTCAGCGTAAGTCCCAGGGTTAAGCCCACCTACTAACCCAAGCACGACACACTCCAGGTAACACACTGCAGAGCCGACTTCCACTCGACCCAGCTGCTGCGTGTGGGTCTGGTGTTTCCAACCACTAGAGAAAGTAGGAGGGTCATCGTCCAGCAAGTTAAGTCTCTATGTGTGGTTTTGAAATGCATTTTCTCACAACTGCAATTAAATTGCAGTGCCCAGTTCTGGACAGTTTGAAGGTGCTGCAGTAGAAATGGTCGTTCCATTCGGCAAGAACAGCTCCTTCCACAACATCTGCAGGCAGGAAGGGCGCCTGAAGCCAGGGGAAGTGGGTCTGGGGCTGCGGGCTGGGGTTGTCCTGAGGCATGGAGGCAACCAACAGCAGCAGGCTGGCTGGGGACCAACCCCTCTGTCAGAGACAGACAACTCTGTACAACTGTGTTACCTTGGGCATTACTCTAAACACAGCCCTGAGGGGTTTGTCTTGTCCCCACACAGGAGAGGCCCTTGATGATGAATAAATAGGCCATTTGGAGTTGTAAAGCTAGGGCTGAATCTGGGGCTCACAGACCCCTTAAGCCTGTTGTCCAGGATGGGTCACCAGACCCCACACATGCAGGTCTATGAGCTAGGTAACCAGCAAACAGGTGCTTGGAAGCTGTAGGCTGGAAAAGCATGACCGCGCGGCGGCGACTGCCCAAGGCAGTAAAACGCCAGCCAAGGCAGTGGCACCGTGCAGGCGCACTAACTCTGCCCACACACAACCTATTCACAGCAAATGCTTGGCAAGATTCTGAACATGAGAGGCCCTGACCATTTTCCTATATTTTCCCAACGATCCACCCCTTCAGGGTCCCTCACCATGTAATCTACACATTCAGAATCTCCTGCGATGTTCCCTTAGCGAGGATAAATGACCCTTACATTCACACATTACACATTCCATCCCAGTTCCAAAAGTCTTTTAGCTTGTTGCAGCACCAACTCAAAAGTCCAAAGTCTCCTCTGAGACCAAAAGCAAAAGTCCTTCCAGCCGTGAACCCGAAAAAAGTCAAAAACAAGTTTATCTACTTCCAGGATACAGTGGGCAGACATTGGGTACACATTCCCATTCCAGAGGGAGGAAAAACAGTCCCCAAACAAATCCAAAACCCAAACAGGGCAAACATTAAGCACACTGGGGCACCTGGACCCCTAAAGCGTTGGACAACCTCGCTCCTACAGCTCTGCCAGATGCAGACCATTGAGCTACCCTGGTGCCTGCAGCTTTTCCAGGCTGGCGCTGCACGCTGCCAGCAGCCCCACGGTTCTGGGCTCCTGGTGGCAGGCGCACCATCCTGGCTCCACCAGACATCTCCTCGGTGGGGGGTATCTGTGGGGGCTCCGACCCCACTCTTCTGCTCCACATTGCTCCGCGGATGACCTCCGCAGTGGCTCCACCCCTGCAGCAGGTCTCTGCCGGAGCGTCCCGCCTTTTTCATACATCTTCCAAGATCTGGGTGGAGGCTGCCACGCCTCCACTGCTCTCCCACACTGCTGGCCTGCAGACCTAGCACAACATGAACGCCACCAAGGTTTTCAGCTTTTTTTCTTCAGAGGCAGGATTGCTCCAGCCAGAGCGGTTGGGATGCAGGGAGCAGTTTGCCGAGGGCACTGACACCTCAGGTCTGTCCTCTGGACAACTCAGTTCTCCTAGGATGGGAGGGGCGCTCTCCCAAACTTCACATACTCTGAGGGCCTGTGATGGGTGGGGCACCCATCCAGACTTCTCAAATGCCCTTAGGGCAGTTTCCCTATTGTCCTGGTTTTTAGCATCCAGCTGCCTCACCCAAGATAATGTCCTTAGCAAACAGTTTATCTGCTTTACCCTTGCATTTTTCTCCAGCTTTTGAATTACCTCAATCAGTTCAGCTTATACCAGCTATTCACTCAGTCTCGGGCAGTTTTTGCAGTGTTCACCCACACAGTTCAAACAGCTGCATTCACTCAGTCCATCAAGGAGTGGCTGCCTTGCCCTTGTGCATACCTGCGGCTCTCCTGTAACCGCTGCCACCAAGACAGGCACGTAGTAATGGAGACTAACTTTTTTCCCACCTTTCACCAGGTGAAAACATACTTGAGATTCCGCAGCGGCACCCATCCTCAGGTCATCTGCCGATCTGCATGCGGCACTCTTTTCTCCGGTTTATTCAGCACTCGGCTGGCCATCGGGTTTAAGTGGCACCCTTCGAGCCTTTTGCCTTCAGACAAATGCAACATGCATTTACTACATCGTCTCTAGAGCACATTACACCATCCACCCCTAGGTCCCATAGCTGTAGCAGCCAAAGGCTCCCCGTTTCTGCTGCTTTTCTGTCTCAATTTCTCATGCAGAACAGACCTTGCCTGGTGTTGGGAAAATAGAATCGTTTGGTCAGGGCCCTCGCCCCTCGCCTCAGGTCCCATTGGGTGTGGTTTTAGCACATCCACTGTAAGCAAATTGTGTGTGTGTGTGTCTGTGTGTGTGTGTGTGTGTGTGTGTGGAGTTAGTGTGCATGTGCGCCAGTGTATCTTTTTAGTTTTGTTGCTATTCTTGTGTTCAGAAAGAGAGGGAGAGGGAGAGAGGGAGGGGGATAGAGAGAGAGAGGGAGAGAGAGAGAGAGTTTTAGTGAAGCAGGCGGGTGGGCATCAGCCTCAGACATCTACCCAGCACAGCCATGCTTTCCAACCTATGGCTCCAG